CTGCCCAGGGAGGTGGCTGAGTCACCATCCCTGGATGTGTTTAAGGGTCTTTTGGATGTGGTGTTGGTAAATATGGTTTAGGGGAGAGCTTTGTGGAGTAGGGATGATGGTTGGACTTGGTGATCCCAAGGGTCTTTTCCAACCTGAATAGTTCTATGATTCTATATCATGCACAAATAAATGGAGTTCTAGGATATTAAACCCCAGATGCATATCCCTTGATGTTCTTTCATGCAGCATGCTATCCAAGATTTCATGCAGCATGTCCTCTAAAGTGTTAAAAAACATGGATTTAGAGGAATTGTAGTGGTCCCATTTTTTGTTCTGTTCCACCTTTTTTTTTTTTTTTTTTTCTTTTCCTTCTTTAGGGGGTGGGGAACAGTTCTTGAGTTTGTTTGGGTTGAGTTTTTTTTATTCGAGTTTGGTTTTAGGGCCTTTTTTTTTTTTCTCTCCTGCTTGTAGACGCTGACACCTGAAAAGACTTGTATGCTACTTACTATTTTTAGGAGGTCAGGCAGTTTGCAAGATGTTGCAGGTTTGAAGGTCCTCAAATTAGTCACTTTCTGCAGTTGTGCCTGCTGAGTGAAAAGCAGGGAAGTTCTCTTACTGCTAGACACTTAACAACAGCCCAGGGCATTGGCACTGCTTGAGAAGCAAGAAAAGGTTATGTATCATGTTCAAGTTGTATGTTTATAGTACAACCTTCCCCTGTTAAATAACAAATCTTTTAAGAATAGAACATTGAGTACTGAACAGCACTCAGGTCATTTGACTATATGTAGAAGACACTTTGTGGACGCAACATTATTCTACCAGTTATGGTTTCTTTTGTCTCAAAAGTATTAATGAAGATTATAAAGCCAGTCTTCCCAGTTACTGGTAGACACATGTATACACACCAAACCACACACACACATATGCATATGTCAACACATATATATGTGACTGTATGTACGTGTGTGTTTATGTATCTTCTTTTAATTAAAATGTGGAAAGTGTTCTTTGTATAGGATTTTACCAGCTCTACCACAGAACAGGTAGAAGGCCATTTTATAGCATTTAAATATTGGTTTGTACCCTTTATAACTGTCTTGTAAGAAAACCCCCACTTTACAGCTGCTCTGTAATTTTTTGTGCCTGTTGACCGCTGTCTGAAATACTTTATTTTGAGGATGATATATTTAACCTTTTGTATAATGCCTGTATTCAGTAACACAGGGAATTGTGTTCCCCCTATGTGCCACTGATAGGACTGTGACTCATGCAGAGCTGAAAAAAGTGGGAAGAGTATGTATCTAATCAAGGGCAATTTATAAAAAGAACTTTGGCTTTGCATCTCAATTTACATTTATTTACAGGAATATGACCTAATCAGATGTTTTAATGTTGAGCATTTGTAGGACTGTGATGTTAACTATAAGTAGAGTGACATTTTTCCTTTGGTATGTGATATCTGATGTTACATTATTTTGCTTTTATGCAGGATCCAAACTACTGGATACAAGTACATCGACTGGAGCATGGGGATGGTGGGATCTTAGATCTTGATGACATTCTTTGTGATGTAGCCGATGACAAAGACCGTGTAAGTACAAATAGCTATGAAAGCTGCTCAGCATGCACTGTGCATTGGCATCTCAGCATTCTGTGTTTCCTGCACATGCCCAAAAGTGGGAGTCTATACAAAGGTTTTAGTTTTTTTTGATGTAGATTGCTTGTAGATGTGAGAAGCCTGTTACTGAATTTTTGTTTGTTTCTGTGGTTTGTTTTTTTTTTTTGGTGTGTGTGTGTTTTGTTTTAAAGTACAGGAAATCTTTTATTGAAATAATATCTTTTACAGCCTTTTTGGTCCTTAAAAGTTCAAGTACGAAAAGGAGGCTACAAAATAATAATAAAAAAAACCTCATCACACAGTGGAACAATAATGGAAAAAAACCCTGAATCTGTATGTTAAGATTTTAGCTTCGTGTAACCAGTTGAATATGTGAAAAATACATGCTGTTCTGAAACTGTGGAGGGCTGGTGGGTCATTTTTTTTTTAAAAAAATCTTTTTGGGAGGAATTGCTGGCAATACAGAACTTGAGAAAATAATTATATGCTGCTGGGTCTTGAGTTTTTTTTTTTTAAAGTAGAGATTTAAGTCTCAGCTAAGAGGGTTTTGATTATTGGTTGTTTGAAGTTGTAGATACTTGTATCTTTGAATTACATATTCTTACATATTAAGAAACACTGTGACAAACTATACAAATCTTATATAAATAACCTCTTTTCTCTGCAGTGCAGCATGTGTTGAGTGCTTGAATCTCTTGAAAGTATCTGAGCCAGATACAGACTTCAGTCTGGAAATGTGTTTCAGGACCCTTCTCCCTTCACAGACAGGATTCTTAATTGCTTCTGTTGGAAGCAACAGGCACTCCAAAGGCTTCTTGAAAACTGGCCAAATGATGACTCTTAGTCTAATTTTTCAGAAATAAATACTTTACCTGCAGTTATTTCTTGTGACAAAATTTAATTGACATAGTTATTTCAACTGGGACTTTATAAAGAAAAATTATGTGAGGAGTCTTGGGACATGGAGACTCCTTGCTGTCTGAAATGTTGGGATTACTCAAGCTGTATAAAGTAACAGTGCTGAGTTTTCAGGAATTTCCTCCATAAAAATAGTGCCCAGCTAAGATTTCACAAAAAGCTAATTAAAACCTCTAGTTAGTTATCTCAAGTTGAAGCACTTGGCTGCATGATTAGTTTAGCTTTTGCTTACAGGCCTCAAGGAGGCTGGTGCAAGTTGTAACTATATATGTATATATATTAAAACTTATTTGAATCATGTCCTTCTTGACTCCTCACATGCTCCTCCCTTCAGAGGAGAAGTTAAGAGTTCTGGTGACTTCAGGACCTCATTCTTTGGCTGTTACGTTGGCTTGCTGCCTTCAAGTGGGGTAATTCCTCACAGTGAAACTCTGTGGGTGTTTTTATGTGTGTGACTAATAAATGAAAAACTCTGACTGCAACTGAAACAGGCAAAGTCATTATTACAATATTGTTTTTGTGTTTAGATGGACAAGATACCTAGTAATTAGTAGTATTTATTTCTGTGTTTGCCAACCTCATAGCCTCTGATTCTCTGAATCTGGCACGTCTCTACTGATAGCACTTGCCAGTTAAATTTCCTTTTTCTACAGGACCTTGTGTCATTTATTAGTAAGGTGCAATGTAAACATGTACTTTGCTACACTGCTTCATAACCTTGTATTAATCATTGTCACTTGACCTTACTGTTGGATTATTTTCAAGCATTTCAGTCATTACTCATTGTTTTTCAGTTTCCTGTCTTATATTTTGCAGCTGACCTTCCTGGTTCTCTTTAGTTTTGGATTGTTAGCTTTGCATTTGATGCTTCATCCAGAGCAAATGTATCAGCTAGTTCTGTGTTACAAGAACCTGGTATAGGTCTCATTAATGCAAGGTTCTGAATATCCCTACATCTAGTGATATTGATATATGTACATGTAAGCATGTCTTGTTAAAAAAAAAAATTGTCTAAACAGATGATGCCTCATCCCTGGAATTGTTCAGGGTCAGGTTGGATGAGGCTTTCAGCAACCTGATCTAGTGCAAGGTGTCCCTGCCCATGCAGGGGATCTTTAAGGCCCCTTACAACCCAAACAATTCTATGATTCTGTGATTTAATTAAATTAGTACTGATGTTGGTAGAATTAGTTAGGCTCAAAAATAAACATAATATATATTATATTTTTAATTTGGACAAAACTGTCTAGGGTATTGCAAAACTGAACACAGTACCTTTGTGTTCATTTACACAAGGAAGTTCTTTATGTTCCTGAAGACTAGTATGTTGTGATATTCACTACCTATCATTTATATTTTTGAAAATCAGTTTACTCTTAGAATGTTTCTTGAGATTTTTGTTCCCACAGGGATAAATGTAATTTCTTGTCTTCTAAGTGTTATTTTTATGCCATAATTATTTATACATTGTCATATAAGCACAATACAGAATGTAAAGCAACTAAGAACCAGCTTGTCCTGTTGATGAATTTATTGCTCCTTATGGTCAACTATATTAGTAAAATAAAACCTTAAGGAATGTGAAGAATTTATTTACTCCTATTCCACTGTCTCCATGGAGAAAATGTGCTGTTCTCTAACAAATACAAAGAACCTTAGAGACAGCAGCTGTTCTAAACGGAATAAAAGAAGTATCCTTGTGATGGTGTTCTGCTCATTATAATGCAGCCTGGTAGGGTGACTTTATTTAGCTTTTTGATCCCTGTATTTTTGGTATTCTCTTGTCACTTACTAAAAAAGAACAGATGAGTAAGGGTTAACCAGTTGCTCTCTGAAATACTTTGTGTTCAGTGTTGTCCTTCCTTAAAAAAAAGGAGAAAAACATGAAACTATGGAAAAATTGGTTTTGCTAAGCTGTTTGTTCCTTTCTGAAACAGCTTCTTGGAAGCCCTTTAGTGTACTTCATTGAGAAAGTCCATAATGCATTCTAACTTAATTGGCATGCAACTTTGACATTCATATTACACAATATCACTACACATGAAGCTGCTAATGAAAACTTTGTTAATGCAGTTAATGGTAGTAACAGTACTAGAAATGAATAAATGCTCACTTGGATATCTTTTTTTTCTTGGAAAAAAACTTTTTTGTGAGTGATTGATGTACAAATTTTGTTAAGGTTTTATCATGGAAAGACAGTTTTCAATAGAAGTATATACTTTTTAATATATTTGTCTCTCTCTGTATACATGAATACAAATTGATTGTCTTGTCATTGTTTTTGAAAAACATTTGACTACAAGAATCAGGAATGTGTTTTCAACTAGTGGAATCTATGCCAGTCCTAAGTGTAAGCATGTTTGGTACTGTTTGTGGAAACTCCTTGAAAAGCTTGGGCAATGAATATCCAATATATCTTTTCCAGAAATAAAGGGGAAATAACTCCTTTTAACTTGATGTTAGTCAACTGTATAACCTTTTTTCACTATTTTAAAAATACAGATTTCTTGTGCATTTAATAATTAGAACAATATTTTAAGGATAGGTTAACAAATGGATTTTTTTAGATTTCTGTTACTTGTAAAAGTAGCCCTTCATTTGAAGGCTCTTACAAAACATATGTCAAATTGACAAGTTTCCAACTTGATGATAACATACTTGATGACCTCAGTGCAGTTCCTAGTAGGCAGACATTCTCACCAGCAAAAAAAAAAACCAACAACCAACTGAACAAATAAAACCCCCAGTCATCCTTAGCCATGATTTCTCCTGGCAGGCTGAAACAGGTAGACACTTCAGTGATCCTCACACTTTGGGTGTAATATGAAAGTACTTATTCAGGGATCTCATAGGCCCTTGTTTATCCATGGAAAAAATATTCAGGAAATTGTTGTGTAATCTCCCATTTTAACAGTTCATGTATGAGTATAACTTGTTCCCAGTTGAATTCTCACTGAAAATAGCCACTTGTATTTTACACAATGAAAAAAAATTATTTCATGTGCAATTTTGTGCTGTTTTCCCCTGCATATTAATGCTTAGGCTGTTGCTTGGTGAAAAGCGTTGGAGATGAAAATATCTATGTTTGGAGTAGCTACATTTCTGAAAAAATAGAGGCTTTCCTTCCCAAGAGAAGAAGGACCTGCCAGTAACAGCCATTCGTTTTGGTGAACAGTTGGGTAAACAGAGGTAGTTTGAAACAATGTAGAGTATGAACCTAACAGCAATGATTAATAAATTCATTTGCCCTAATGTACTGGGTTTTTGGTAGCTTGGGATTAGGAACCTGCAAATGTAAAAGTTTGGCATCTTATAATTTCATTCATCACTGTTCATTAAACACTAGTTCTGAAAAATAACCACTGTGTTTTGCTGTATGCTTAACGTTACATATAGGGTTTTGTTCTATAAACTAAGGAATGGGCTTTCTTTGCTTAACTTACTGATTTCAAATATTCAGTCAAGCTCTTCAGTCTGCGTAATTCATACTCACTGAGTGCAGAGATAAAAACTAGATGAATATGGTTTGGTATTGTCTGGAGTGAGGTTTCATGCTTACCACTGTGTTTGTGCACATGGTGTTAGTATCCAGCCCAGGTGACTGTAAGATCAAAGTATTGTTGGTGCTTACTGCTGGTTAGATATACTTTGAACCTCTTAGAAAGATGTACAATAACTTGCTGTTCTGAGTGGAATACTGTTAGTGAGAATGGGATGGAGATTCATTTCTTAGATCTGTGCTGAAATGGAGTTGTAAGCATTCATGGAGTAGAGTTAACTGTGCTAAGTACTCAAATTGCTGCTGAAATTCAGTGAGATCAATTGCACTTCATTTGCAACCACTTTTAGAGACCTAAATAGACTATTAATAATTGTTATGAATTAAATGCCTGCTTGCTTCTAGCCTGATGAGAGAAAGTCTTTGGACAGCTTTTTCACATAATGTGAAGGCATACTAGGCGCTTTTCCCAGTGCAGTGGAAAGGAAATGAACTTTTGGTGCTTGTGTTAAACATATGGTCAATTCTAAATAATACTGTTGTTTTGTTTACTTCC